GTTGGCCTCAATACCCCTTCGGCTAACCATGTAGCCCAGGAATTTCCCCCCTTGGACGCCGAAGGTGCACTTCTTCGGGTTCAGCTGAAGGCTAAACTTCTGCATGATGGCGAAGATCTCCCTTAGGTCGTCAGCATGGCTTGCTGACTACTTGCTTTTGACGATCATATCGTCAACATATGCCTCCATGGTGCGCCCCAGGACAGCTTGAAATACCCTGGCCACCATCCGAGTATAGGTGGCGCCTGAGTTCTTTAGGCCGAAGGCCATGACAAGGTAGCAGAAGATGCCCTCGGGAGTCATGAAGGCTGTTTTTTCAGCGTCTTCCTCATGTATGTATATTTGGTGATATCCGCGGAATGCGTCGAGGAATGACATGATTTCGCACCCCGCGGTTTCATCCACCAGTTGATCAATATTGGGTAGAGGAAAGGGGTCCATGGGACACGCCTTGTTGAGATCCGTGTAGTCCACGCACATTCGGAATGAGGGCGGTTTTTGTGCGAGGACTACGTTTGCAAGCCATGAGGGGTACTTGACCTCCTTGATGTGTCTGATAGAAAGGAGCATGGCGACCTCCTTCTTCACGAATTCCCTCCTCTCGGCCGAGAGGGGTCTCCTCCGCTGCTGTATTGGCTTGGCCGAAGGGTCTACCGAGAGGCGGTGGGTGATGACCCTTCGGCTGATCCCCGGCATGTCCTCCGGCCCCCATGCAAAAACAATGGAGTAGGCGCGGAGGGCGCTGATGATGTCGGTCTTCAAATCTTTGGGGAGCTTGGCTCCAATCTTCACGACTCTCTCCGGCTTGACCGGATCGAGCGCGAAATCTTCTACCTCCTCGGCTGGTTCAGCCCTCGGCCTTCTTTCTTCCGCTTCCACAGTTCCGGTCATGGTGTCAACGCGGAACTCCGTCTTGCTAACCTTCTTTGTAACTTGAAGGTAGCAAGCGCGGGCAAGCTTTTAGTTCCCCCTTGAGTAACCGATCCCCCCCTCGGCTAGGAACTTGAGGCAGAGGTGCCTCATGGAGATGACTGCTTCGAGGTCCTCGAGGGCTGGCCGGCCGAGGATGATGTTGTGGGCGCAGTCGATGTTGACGACGACGAACTCCACTTCGAGCTTGGCTCTATGGAGGCCGTCACCGAAGATGACCGAGAGGGTAATGACCCCCTCGGAATCAATGGTGTCGCCGGTAAAACCGGCAAGAGGGGTCTTGATGGGCCGAAGGGAACCCCTCTCCAGATGCAGCTCTCTGAAGGTGCTGAGGTACATTACATTGACGGAGCTGCCCGTGTCAATGTAAGTTCTATGAATAATGGTGTCGTTGATCTCTGTGCGGATGACGAGGGCATCCCTGTGTGGGGAGGATATTGGGGGGAGATCAGCGTTAGTGAAGACAATGGGTTCCTCCCTCAGCCGCTTTACCGGGGCATATGAGTGACTTCCCCCACGTAAAGTGATTGAGCCCACTTCTTTCGTTGACTCGTAGAATCACCCCCGGTATTTCCCCCTGTGATCATGAGGATGTGGTGTTTCTTTTCTTGACACCGGGGGTACTCCTCCCCCTCTTCCTCCAGATTTCCAATCTCCCTCTTCTTCCCTAGGGGGATGGTGTTGGGGTTGACCCATGCATTCCCTCTCGCAATTTGCCCTCAGGGTGGCCCCTGATGAGGAGGGGCCTGTTGCTGAGGGCCCTGGACAAATTGGGACAGATGGCCCGTTTGTATCAATTTCTCGATGGCCGTCTTCAGCTGATGGCAATCATCGGTCCTGTGCCCCTGGTGTCAGTGGAAGCGACAGTAGGGGTAGTTTGGGTTGATGGCAAATACTTCCGAGGGCGCGCGTGAATCTCGCTCTACGAGGCCCCTCTCCTCAGCAAAATCCAGGATGACGCTGACGGGGTGCGTCAGTGGTGTCCGAGGGTGCTCCAGGAGGATAGGCTGTGCCCAAGCCCTCGGGTTCCCCTTGAAACCTCCCCCGGGCTTGGCTTGGCCGTGCCGGGGGCGATCACTGGAGGGGGCAGGATCCCTGGGATGATTGCGGGGAGCCCCCGGCCCCCGGTTACCTCTGTCTTTTGGCCGAGGGCGTTGCTGATCAGGGACATGGTGGCATTTCTCCACCTCCTCGGCCTCGGCGTACTGGTCCCCCCGCTGTAGGGCCCTTATATAATCGCGGGGGGGGGGGGGGGTTCGATGATGAGACTCCTTGAGAAGTTCCCGGGGCGGAGTACTGTTTGTAGGAGGGCCAGGAGGGTCCCGTCGTCAGCGCCATCAACTTTATCAGCCTCCGTCCTCCAGCGCTCCAGGAAGTCTCGAAGGGTCTCCTCCTTCCTTTGCCTCACTGTTAGCAAGTGGGAGAAGTGTTTTCTTGTGCGGCGCCTCCCCGCAAATTGCGTCAAGAATCGCTGGGCGAGTTCTTGCCATGAGTCAATACAGCCCTCGGGCAATCGGTTGAACCCTTCGTAAGCTGGCCCCTCTAGGGTGGAGAGGAACCAGCGGCATAAATATTCATCCGATGCCCCCACCATCATCATGTTGTTTTGATACCTGCTGTAGTGCTCCTGGGGGTCAGTCTTTCCGTCATAGGGCTTAATGAGCTGCCCCCGGTATTTTTCCGGGATCCGGGCAGCCAATACCCTTGGGGTAAATGGCGTCTGGGTCCGGAGCTGTATGGTGGGTTCCCCCGGAGCCCTCAGCTATCTTCTTCTGCATTTCTTCCATTTTGGCCATCATCGCCTCATATTTGAAGTCCATATGAGGGGCAGAAGGGGTGGCGTGGGCCTTGGTGGCCTCCATCTCGTCAAGCCGGTGCTGGAGGGCCGCAATGATTTCGTCCCGGGGGTCCTTCTGGAGGGCCTCCGCCCCCTGCGAATGGACCCGGGCCGAGTGGGCTTGATTGATTTGATGGCGTGCGTCGTCGTCATGGAGAGGTGCCTTGCCTTTGTCCTGAGGGGGACGTCTCTCATTGGCCCTGGAGACGGACCCACCGCTTTCCTGAGGTCTTTGGAACGCCCTCCCCCCGAGGCGGTCCTGGACCCCTCGGTGGTCTTGCGCCCCTCCGAGTCTCTCGAGGGCGGAGGTCCGGGAGTGCCCCTTGTTCACGTCGTGGCGGTCCCGGGACTGGACCTCCTGGGAGGCCGTATCTTGGGCCACGACCCCCTCGGAGTTCCCCATCCGGAGGACCGGGCTACCGAGGGGCCGTGGATGAGGGGGAGGCAGAATATTCTCCCCTACCTGAGGCTGGTGGGGAATCAAGGTGCCGAAGACACCCGGGTTCTGAGTGAGCGTCTGGATGAAGGCGGAGAGCGCCGATTGAACTTCGATGGTGATGACCGGGGGGCTAATTTGATTTTCGCTCCGGTCCTTTTTCTTGGCCTCGATGCCGAGGCGGGCATCGGGGCATTTTGCTGAATCTGCTGGCGTAGGTCGACAGCCGTCTGGTCCATCCCGACGATGACGCCGCCCCCGGGAGCCCTGTTGGAGGCTTCGGGGACGTCGACCTCGCCGAGGGCCAAGTTCCTGTCCTCTACATTCTTGGAGTTGGCACGAGTTGTTCTCACCATTTTGGATGGGTGTTTTCGTGTTTGGTCGAAGGGGAGGGTTTCTTACTTGATTGTTCGACTCTCAACGAGAGCACCAAATGATGGATAGTGTACCCGGGGGTAGCTTATCTGAGGGGTTATTACGGAGAATAATAGGAGAGAAGTCAGAGCAGGTAAATATAGAGAGAGAAAATATATTGTAAAGTGTGGAGCGTTTTCAGCGTGGTTACAAATGGGGAAATGGGGTGCTATTTATAGTAGCAATAAATGCCGGACAGGGACAAGTGTCAAGCGTTCATTGACCGAGAGGTCACCTCAACTGGTTGGCGCTGGCAACCGCATGTGGCCGCATTTAATGCGGCTGTTGGATGGGACGTTGTACAGGGTACGGTGATCTGTACGCATGTGGCGCAGATATCATGTCGGGAAAGGTGCCCTCGGCTGTAGAGGATTAGCCGAGGGCTCTGAGTACTGGAGATCCCCTTGGTGCCGAGGGCTCCAGGTGTCGAGGGCTACTGCTTTTCGCAGTTTTTCCTCGTAGCTTTGTTTTTGTTGTGTTGGCCCTGATGTGAGAGTTAGAGCCCTCGGCCAGGGGGCCGAAGGCACCCCTGGTGCGCATTGTGGGCTGCTTGGTACTCTGGGCGCTGTGATTTGGGCCTGTTGGACCTTCGGGGCCTGTTGGACCTTGATTGGGATAGTAGGAGTCTGTGGGCCGGGGGTTCCCGGGCCATATACTCCATCAATTATTAGTATTATTATTATTATTATTATTAGTATTATTATTATTATTATTATTTTTACTTTTATTATTATTATTATTATTATTATTATTATTATTCTTATTCTTATTCTTATTAATATTATTTTTATTATTTTTCTTATTATTGTTATTATTGTTATTATCATTATCATATTATTATCATATTATTATCATATTATTATCATATTATTATTTTCATGTTATTATTATCATATTATTATTATTATTATTTTTATAATAATAATAATAATAATTATTAATATTATCACTATTATTAATAGAATATATTTGATTAACATTCGATTTCAATATATTACGTAGTATTAATATTCATATTTGTATTTGACAACAATTCAAATCAAATTTTATACTATTTGTATTTTAGTTTTTCAAATTCGAATCATATTACATGAATTCGAATTCCGAATAAGCATAACTTATTGAAAAATTCCTTTCATAGACGTTCTTATACACACCAGTACATATCCGTGACTGTGAGAGTTTTTTTGTCTATGAATCCCAATCGATAGAAAAAAATTGACTTATTTTGTCTGTAGAATTTTCCACAGACAAAACGATGAGTTTGTCTGTGAACTGGGATTTATAGACAAAAAAACTCTCATAGAGACATAAATGTATTGGTATGTATCACATGTACACCCATATTTTTTGTAAATTATTTGATTGTACAACGGTACAACTTTACTAAAATGGACTGTATTTGAGCCCATACAACGTTATTTTTTCCAAAAGCAAACACCTCGTTTCTGTCCCCACTCCCCAGAAACTCGCTCCAGGCGCTCCAGACTACTCTCATCAGCAATTCCCTCACCCTACACACACATCAGACTGATCAGAGTATCAGACACTCGTACGCAGATACACTCCTGCCGCCACTGAAGACGCCGTCGCGACTGGGCCGCCTGGACGCTCCTCGCGACTTCGCTACAGCCCAAGCCGGCTGAGTGGGTGAGTCCTTGCCCTCTCCTCTCGATTCCCAGCTGACGAACGAAGAAGGTAGGTATTCATCTCTGGCTCGACACCTTTATATGAGCTCTTTTAAGCAATTTCATACGGAGTAGTTTTAATCTAAAAGTTACGACTTTTGAAACCTAATCTGTTGTTTTAGAATTTTCATTTGCTCAACCATTTTTCTTTAGATCTAAAATTCGGTTCACATCAATTATTATTATTATTATTATTCATATTATATTCAAACACCCCAATGTATTGTAGGATCTTTATCAACTTCGGGACCTTCTCCCTGTGCTTTTAGTTCTTACTATCGAACTGAAAATATCTTTTTGAGATAGGAAAGAACATTTTTCATGAAGTTAAGTGCCTAACTCATTTTTGTAATAATGAGTATCACACCAATTCCACAATTATCCCCTTTTTTGACTTTAACCACTTGGTACATGACTATTGTTTTCACCCACATATAAGGAGTCATTTCATTTACCAAAATTGCATGGACCGACTGCTTCTTCATAACAAAGAAGCGCAAACAGTTTAGTGAGCCATTTTGCTTTATTCAACCATAATCTCAAGCCAAAAAATAATGAATCTTTGGCTCCATTGCGAATGATGTAAAAACCCACATATAAGGAGTGTTTGCAAAAAATTAAAAAAAGTGCTTTTCAGCTTTTGCCTTTAAAAAAGCTGAATTTGGCTTAAATTAAGCACTTAAAAACTAAAATGTGGAACCAGGTTGAGGAGTGCTTTAAACTGCTTTTCACTTTTTCTATTACACAAAAAGCACTTAATTTATCAAACGCGACCAACTTTTACTTTTTCAGAAGCACTTTTTTCTCAAAAACTACCAACTTTTACTATTAAGCACTTTATCCAAAATCACTTTAAAAAATCATTTTTTAAACTAGAAGCAATTGCAAACACTCCCATAGTCCTTTTGCGGTGGTTAAAATGCCCGGATATGGATTGAAAATGGTCAAGAAAGTAATAGTCAAGTATCAAAAGTGGACAAAGTGAAAGACGTGGACTAAATATGGAATCGACATAAAACTCGTAGGACCAAAAGTGGAATTAGTTTTGTTTGATCTTATTTTGCGTGCTCACTCGTTGCTAGTTTATTTTTTTGCCTCCTTCACATATGATTTTGAAAATGTGTACAAACATTGATTTCCATGTCGCCCAACATTGACATCTCATCTCATTAAAAAACACATATCAGCCTGCAAAACAATATAATGGCGTACAAATTAATGTATGTGTACAAACATTAGTCGTTAATTACAGCGTCTTCTGCTTGATTTCTTCGTACAAACAGAATTTGCATGTGGCAAAACTAATTCTCATTATCCAATCCAATCCATGTGTACATAAAGTTGGTCCAAAAGTTGATACACTTGCTATTTTCCCTAACACTTATCTAGTAGATATAGTTCACATTTTTTACCTGTAGGCCATAGATCAGCACCATTCTCGCAAAACCAAGGCATGTACATTTGTAATATTTCAAATAGTGAATTAGTGATTCTTCCATCCCGAATTAATGCTCTAAACACTTCCATTTTTTTACTCCGAATTAGTGATTTGGAGCAGTAAGGTGTCTGGTTCTTTTTCCTCTTCATCCATGGCAGCCTCCAAGCTCCAAGCTCTTTGGAATCACCCTGCTGGCCCTAAAACCAGTGAGTTATGACTTTCCTACGGGAGTAGCTTTCATTTGTTTAAATGTTATTATGACAATGGGATCATATCTAGGTTTGGCTCTGATTTTCATACAAAATTGGTTGAATCAATAAGCGTCATTTGAATTCAGAGGATAGAAATAATTGCGTAAACTAATCAGAGAGACAGATAGGAAAAAAGATTCTTTAACAATGACTAGGTAGAAGACAAATTTCTGAGAGGATTGAGGAATTGAACGTAGACTATGCAAGAAGCATTGGCCTATACATTTGTACAATTGTACTTCATCTTTTTTTATTAGCAATATATCTATGAGATAGCTGATTTATGTTCTCGTCTCGCATGTTTTCTAGTTCATTTCTGGGCACCGACCTTCAAGTGGGGTATTAGCATAGCTAACATTGCTGACTTCTCTAAACCTCCAGAGAAGCTCTCCTATCCCCAGCAGATAGGTATGACCTTTCAATATCTATGCATCATCTCAAACGTCATCATCCTCATTTAGCTGTAGTGTCATGTGATTATATTTTGATTCTTCGAAGCATTTTTGTGCGAATTGATATTATAAGTAAGCTTTTCCTAATGCTCTTTCAATCCATTCAGCGGTTACTGCCACTGGAGTTATCTGGTCACGCTATAGCACTGTTATTACACCTGTAAGTTCATAGCTTTATACTGTGTAAAGCCTTATGTTGACTGGCATCATTTCCTTTAAAAAGTTAATAAGTAATCTAATAGTAGACTAAGATGTTAGAGTAGATGATGTCATAGAACAAGGCATTCTCTTTAAGTTAAAAGCAGGCAATAAACTGCAAAAACATGTCAATCTCTAAGAACTCAGATACAATAATTCCTGAAGGGTATGTTACTTTTCCTCGTTGTATTTCAGCAAAATGAAAAAATATGTACCGACTGAATTATTACTAAATTTATTGGTTGGTTTGTTTTCAGTTTCGCACCTCAAAGATCACACATCGCCTCTCTGACTACCACATCCATACCCAAATTAGCCTTTGTAAATTTTGATGATTTTTCATCCTATAATAAAGTACCAACTATTACCTGTAAAAAAGAAAAGATGGAAAAGGTTTGTATGTGCCTCATATGCATGCACATTAGAATGTCATATTGCTTTTACAGTTTTACTGTATTTTTTTTTCAATTTGGCTTCTTCACTTGCATAGCTAGATTGCTACACTTTGTCTTCATTTGTATCTCATCTTTAGTGATTTATGTAGAGCTTTTGGATTTGAAGTATATTTTTTAGCTCTTGATGTTTCTTTCACCATCTTTGATTCTGAAATGCAGAAAAACTGGAACCTATTTAGTGTAAATGTGGCCATGGCAGGTACTGGCATCTATCAACTTACTCGAAAAATAAGGTATGTCATTTTCTTTAGTCGCACACTTCCAGTTCTGTCGTACTGGCTGAGTTTCTCCGTCAATGGGGTCATGGATTTGAATCCTACTCTTTTCCCAGAACAAAGAAAATAGTACCTAATAGCTTGTTTGGTTACCAAAATGAAGTACTCCGTATATAGGGAAAGGAAAATAAGCAGGGAAAAGAAAATTTACTATTTGGTTGGTAGGGAAAGTTTGGGAATAGATATTACACTATTTGGTGACTTTGCAATGATGGACAGTACTCCATATAAATGGTAGGGAAAATTTGATGTATATGCACTTTTTAATATCTACGTTGAAGTCAATGTTATATACGTAGTATATATTTTTTAAAATGCAGTCATTTATTAAACTTCACAGCAATAATGAAATATTATGTCAATTATAATCATATTTCACGTTCATATCAATGTTCTTTATATACACAAATGACAAATCCTATATGAATGTGTTCTGCATTTTCTTGCAAATAAATAATGGCTATGAACTCAATGTAAGCCTTCTTTCTTAAAAACTATGGATGCTTTTAATTGGATGGTTTTCGGTCCCGGACTTAAACAGATCAGGCTAGATCAGACTTGAACAGACCAGACCAGATCAGACTTTCATAATTATAAATACACAGAGACCATACATTTATCATATCAGACCACTTCAGATCAGACCAAACCAAACTTAAACAGACCAGACCAGACCAATAAATTTTAGTCCAACTAAAAGCATCCTATATCAATATATACCTACCAAACATGTCTTATTTTTAAAAGTTGGAAATGAATCACACAACAACATCCAAGCCTTAGTCCCAAGATATTTTGGGGTTGGCTAACGTGAATTGATACATGATATCGGAGCCAATAAGAAAAGAAAGATAAGCAATATAAGAAAGATAAAAAAGATAAGAGCCCATTCAGGATGGTTACCAGTTTTCACTTATTGTTCTTTTGATATACACTATAATAAATCAAAACTGCTCATACTAAGATATCTGATTTTTTAAAATTCCAAATTGCCAACCTCATATAACTGAAAGCAGTCTTTTGGTTTCCAAAAGGCAATTTTTATTTTAAAAAAACTTGAAAGAGGAACTGCCTTGAACGAGTTCTTACCAAATAAAAACCCAAAAATATTTTGAATACAGTGATGTGTTGGAAATCTCATTATATTCGGTCTTAATTGTGTAAAATCAAAACGAGTATGGTTGAAGTTACTTTGCTGGCTGAATTGGTCGAATGTGCTGAAGATGACTATTTTAGCTTTTTTTGGCTATAATTTTTTCTTTGTTTTATTAATAAAATATATTTTAAATATAATTTATTCACAATTCAGCATATTCAATGAGAATTTCACCAATTTTCAACGGATTCAGATGATATTAGTGTTAACAAATGAGTTCTTAACTTATCTAAGCAAGATCATGTAATCCTATTGCTTAGCTGATCGCCAATTTCAATAAAGTTACTTTTCATCCTCTGAAGATTCTTATTGGAAAATCGGAAATGTGACATGTAATTGTTTATATCCTTTCAGGCATGATTATTTTGATGCCCAGCAAGCAGCTATATCAGAAGATTGATGATAAAATCAGCCCCATATCACCAGTGGACTTGACTTTAGTTGCTTTGTCACTTCTCAAGACCAAGTACTATATCTGCGCATTGTAATACACCACATTTGGACTGGGATACTGTATGTGTTCGTTCATCTCAATTCTCAAATCAAACGACAATAAGTGCACAAGGCCACTTGCCTTTGGATTTCAGTTTCCAATTTTTGTTATAGCAAAGTCATATTTGGTGGTGCATATTGTTGTTGTCTCAAAAATATTGTGTTGTGCTTTATCTTATTTTTCAACATGATGGGTTAAGTTATTATAGATTGTCTGTGCCTCCAAAGATAATTGAAGGTTATTCAGGTGATCACAGGGGAACTCTTGGTATATTCAGAGTGTCATTAAGAATTCGACTTATTCAGACAACGTCATTATGAATTCGACATTTCGACTAGCAGATCATGTTTTTCATTCTTGATTTCCTGCAGACAATGTTCAGCTACTACCCCTGCCCAATTACCGCAGGCAACCCTTTTGCCGAATTTGAAACTTAAGGTGGAGGCAATATTGGCTGTGTACAGCAATCTTGGCAGTGCTCTTGAGTATCATAGTACAAGCAGCTTTGTCCCTATTTTGCTGTGATCAGGTTCTGCCGATTTATGAATGCATCAAAGAAAAAGAATTATGTTTTCATCTGTGTTCAAAATTCAAATCCCAGCCAGAGGAGAATTGAGGCTCGCAGAACTATTTCATTTGGTCTTGTCATCATTAGGTACAACCCACCAATCTTTAACCCGTAGTCTAACAAGAAAATTCATCTTTAATAGCTTAGACTTTTCAAAATAGTTTTTAAATACTTAATTTTTATTGGCAAAAGAATCAAAGTTTTAAAGAAGAAAATTGAAATCCAAAATATTATTTAATCTGATTCAGTAATACTGTAATATATTACCATATCATTCTAATAAACCACTTAATTAGTTTTTACTCAAACAACTCACAAATGTCTGGCAATATCTATTACCTAACACAACTTGTCTTGCTCCAATTAGGGTTGGACCGGCACCGGTCATGGTCGGGACGCGGGACCTGCCTGGCCGGTACTAACTTGTTGGGCTTAAGGCCTGGTACCGACCCGGGATTCGACCGGGACCGGTTCGGTACGGTCTACTTGCCCAGGTCTCGGGTCGGGCCGGGCCGGCTCAGTCTTTTTTTTAAATATTGTTTAAAAATTAATTCAAGAAATGCTAGATATTAAAAAGTTAAGTATATTTATTTGAAATATGAACTACAATTGAGAATTGAGAAAAATATAAAAATTCACAAATGCCCCAAAAAAAATCAATGCATATATATTGAAATATAAAGTACAATTGATAATATAGTTAATACTCTCTCCGTTCCTATTAAAATTTTCAACTTTCTTTTTTCGTCCGTTCCAATTAAAACTTTCACTTTCCCTTTTTAGTAAAGAATTTGTGGTTCACAACATTTCTTACACATTTCTCTCTTCTCTGCACAATTTTCCACCACACAATACCCACTATCTTAAATTGTGTGTCAAACCTATTTGGAAGATAAAATAGGAACATAAGGAGTACTTAATAGCCTATTTTAAAAAAGCGGGAAAAAATATTTCGTGTCCCATTGACTCTTAATTTTGCATACTCCTTGGGGTGGTTTGCCTTCAAATGCCTATCTGCGCCTCCGTATCAAGTTGCACACCACATCTTGCTTGTCATTTCCTTGCATTCTGTGTAATTGTTCTTCATAAGAAGAGATTGCCTTTTCTTATCAAGTTGGGATGAATGAGGCTCGTCCTCGTCAGGTGTTTCCTCATTGAGGGTTTGCTGATGACCTTGTACCTCTTCGGGTGTTTCCTCGTAAATCGCATCTCTCCGGTCATAATTTGTGTCAAAATCATCTTGGCTTTGAGAAGAAGACCCGATATGTCCTTTACCTTTGCGTGAAGTAGGATGATTCCTCCCAATCTTCTTCTTTCGGTTGCGTTGGAGGTTATCCATATCTACAGAATGTCTACCACATTCCATCTTAAAATGTAACAAATATTAAATTTTAACAAATATGTTAATGTGAGTACAAAAACAATGCAAGTAATAACAAATGTAAGTAATTTGTATCAATACTAAAAATATGACTTTTATATTAAAATGTAAGTAATATGATTATAATATAAAAATTGCAACTAGTTTAATAATTCAATATAACAAGTGTAGTAAAATTAACTAAAAATGTAACTACTTTGAGTATTTATTAAGTAGATAATAAATATAAGTAATATAATATACTCCCTCCGTCCCATTTTACTTAGCCAATCTTGACTTTTCAAGTCAATGGAGTCTAACTTTGACCGATTATATGTTTATATAGAGAAAGTATTAATATTATAAAAATGATATGAAAATGTTCTTTGTTAAAAATACTACAATAAAAGTATAAAATTATTAAATTTTGCATAAATATATTAGTTTAAATAATTGGTCAAAATTTACCATCTTTGACTGGAAAAGTCAAAGATGGCTAAGTAAATTGGGACGGAGGGAGTATGTATTTATACATAGATAATAAATATATAAGTAGATATAATAATTGTATAACTAATTTAGCTAGATATGATATACTATCGGAGAATATATTAATTAGGTGTAGAGAGAATTGAAGAAGATGAAGATGATTAGAGGTATTAGTGAGTAGGAAGAATCGGAGAATATGTGTAGAAAAATGATTAGATAATAGGAGTACTTGTAGATTTGATTACCCCACCCCTAACCCCCAACCCCAGACCTCACCAACGGCAATGCCGTTAGGCCACCCCACCATAGGCTGCAAAGCCATTAAAAAAATTTTAAAAAAGTTTTTTTTTTAAAAAATTGTCCGTTAGCCTCAGAGGCGGCTTTGAGGGGAGTAAGGCAGACATTTGCCTTGGGCCTCATACTCTAGTGGGGCCTCAAAAAAAACATTAATAGTATAAAATAGTGGTGTCCTGTTAGCAACCACACTTCCCAGTTCCCATCTTTCATTTTCCTAACAGGTGTGCGTGGCCTGCGGATTCAGTCTTGAGGTATATAAGTTAGAATTAAGGTTAATAAGTTATTGAGTTCATCTTAGTTACTTCGTATCATATTTTCATTATATTGATAGTCCAAAAATACATTAAGTAATTGTCAGACTCGGAGCCATCACATTGATGTATTATTGAAGTAATATTTAATTTAATTTGATGGGAGTTGTTATTAGTTTGATTTTTTATTTTCACTGACAATTGTTTATTTGTGAATTTTAGCTTTTTGTTGACTGCTTTAGTTTGTGATTTTTATGTAAGTATGTTACTCGCAATCAAAAATCAAGATTTGTAGGGATTAAAAATTACTACTCCATCTCATTTTAAAGTTTTCATTTAGAGGGCACAATTTTTAGTTAATAATTAAATAAGATAATTTGAGTATAATTCAAGAAATAGTTTGGGAAAGTATATAATATAATGGAGTAACCGCCTAGGATTATAAGTGCAATGTTAGGAAAGTATTAATTCTAATATGTAATGGTTAAATTATCTTTTAAAATTTTCTAAAATGAAAATGAGAATAAGAACTTTTAGATGGAACATCCAAAAAAGACAAATGATACTACACAATTTTCATCTAGAGCGGATGATGTGTAAGTTTCGGTCCATTTTACATTTTTTTACATTTAAAAATTTATTATTTTGATGTTCATAATATATAACCCACTTTGAATATGCGTTGTTATTCACATTTTGTGTTTTTATCAATTTATATTATATTATTGTTTTAATGCCTTTTTGTGTTATAGAAATCACATTGATATGATATGTCAATATTAAGTGTTTTTCCGTCTAAGGTCTCCACAATTCTAAAGACGTCCTTGCCTTTAGGCCCAGATCCAGACCGGTCGGGCCGGTGACCGTTTTCTTCGTCCCGATCCCGGTCAGCCGGGCTGGGGCGGTACCGCATAGTGGCAGTCCGGGTCGGGTACGGGCCAGCCCAGTCCAACCCTAACTCGAATTATCTTTCTGTTTTGCACGGACAGTAGTCTCAGGCTTGCAGCCATATTTTGAAATTTAAGTAGAGTGATGCACTTCCGCTTTTAATCTGGCCTCTAAAAGTTGGTTTGAGAGTCTCTCTTTAGGCCTTTGGAAAACCCAAAAACCTGGACGCCAACTTCCTGGAAATCCATGAATTCTTGCTAATATTCATATAGATATACTGTTGGGTAATAGAAAATTCACATTCCCACCTCCAGCAATGGGGAAAGGAAGAACCGATTCAGAAAACCATAAGAACCAAAGTAAGCAGAGTAAAGTTGGAGGTAGCTCTATTACAGTGAACATGGAACATCCCCTGGGGCAACAAAAAGAGATGGCAGAAGCTAAAGATAGAAAATGCTCACACCTGGAGGTAGTTATGGAGACGGGGGAAATGGAGGAGAAGAATGCAAATAAAGAAAACCCTTCCTCTAGTGTTGGAAATGACAATGTTGATAATGCACACCGGATGTTTGATCTAAACAATATACCAGAAAAAGAGACCAAGAGTAGTAAGCCTTCTTGGGTGGGACTATTCAAAGACAATAGAAACCCATCAAAAGGTATGAAACTTAGGTTTATACCCACTGATGGGGACTATGTTGACTTGAGCATAGGTGAGCCACTAAATATGGTTGAAATGTGGGGTTTTTGCTTGGTTGGTTTCTTCACGGGGAAATTTCCTGGACTGAAAGCTGTGTACAAACTAATGGACACATGGGATGTAAGATGTAAGTTGTTACCACACTCCCGGGATGGCATGTTTTTCAATTCAAGACCAAGGAAGACAGGACTAAAGTACTCCCAAATGGCCCCTTTGAAGTCATGGGAAGAATGTTGATGCTCAAAGAACTCTCTGAAGACTTCTCTTTTGAAGACGAAGAATTCCTAAAGGTACCTCTCTCTGGATCAAATTCCCTAATCTGCCAGTGGAGTGCTGGAATGAGGAGAAGATTAGCTTAATTGCTTCTAAAGTGGGTAAACCCATTTACACCGACGGTGTGACTAAGGAGAAAACCAAGCTGGATTAGGCAAGAGTCTTAATTGAAGTGGATATCTCTAAATCACCCCCTTTGAGAGTGAAACTAAGACGTCAATCTGGCAGATTCTTCACCCAACATGTTATCTATGAAACTTTTCCAAACTTCTGCTTCCACTGCAAATAATTTGGACATCATCCATTTAACTGCACTATCCTTCACACATTGGAAAGGGAGCAATTTGCAGAAGTAGAAAGGAAGAAAAAGGAAAAGCTAGAAGAAGAGGGGAGAAGAAATGGAAAGAGCTGCGTCCAGAT